GCTTGATCAGCACCCGTTGCCATAGCTGTCATAGCAGCCAGGAAACCACATCGTCCTCCTTGCGTTTCCACGATTACAACTCTGAAAATACTGTCTGGAAACGCTGTACTCGCTATACGCTATATACTATACTGGAAGTCAAAATACGCTATACTGGATACTCTAAAGATAATTAGACAGCATTCGAAGCGAACGTGTTTTGCATAGGTAAAACCTTTTTCGTGTACTCCGTGCACTCAGTTGTATATTGTCCACCTGACGACAGATCTCATTAAGCGCTGTGTCTGTACCGAGAGAGTTACAGGTCTGGAAATAAAGGGATGTATTTTAGAATTGAGTAAATATATAAATAAATGAGTGGGAACCATTCAAGAGTTCATCGTCTCATTAGACGGCTCACATATAAGGAACAAGAAACTAGCGCTTTTAAGAGACTGCGCTTTGAACCAGACCGGGGGTCATCCATCTGCTACAGTTTAAAGGATGTCAATGTTCGCATCTCCAACACAAAGTTCCTGAACTTCCTTTATTTTTGTTTGTAAACAGGGCTCAATAAGGCACCCCATCTTCACGTACATTTACAGCTCTGACCATGTCAGTGAAAGGAGCGGATTGTCATGGCTAAAATCTCACAGTGCTTCAATCCCTCCATGAAATGTCGGTAGCTATTTCCCGGACTAGAAGAGAATCAAAAATCGACTGACTTCCTCAAGGCCTTTTTGTATTCTTACGATTCTACTATTGCCAGGCCCCATTTCCCATGTCATTCTAGCTTTCCCGTTCTTTCACTAAGTCGCTCGTCACGTTCTCTACCAGAAAACAAACGTACGCAACAAATTCCACACAAAAAGAGAGTAGACTAGAGGATTCCTCCGAAATAAGAGAAATGGGAGCATTGAGCTCAGGGCTTCTCTCAGGATGGACAGAGTGCTACTTAGCTCTAATCTGCACTTTACTTCAGATATCGTATGCCATTTTTCGAGAACACAAGTTGTCAGGTTTTTCTTTTTCGCTTGCTTCTCTTCCTTTGAAAAGCAAACCTATGATAGGAGCTCCCGATCAAACCATAGACTTACCCCAGGTACATTGTTGGCAATAGAACAAGGCACGACAACCATTGGGATGTCGAAAGCTGAGTAACTGTTTCGAGCCTCGTTCAGGATTATAGCAGATTGAAAAGCCTAAAAGAGGAGAGAAGATCACCCGTGATATCAGGCGAAGACAAGTTAACAAGGCTACTAAGAAGCGAGAAACAATATCTGTGCAAAGGTAAAGGATAGAGGAAGGATATCGCAAACGTACCTCGAATCCTCCCACAATCAGTAATCCCTCAATATTCTGTTCTCTTAGAGCAGATGAAAGTTTTTCAATATCAGTAGGTAGTTGTTTTTTCGAGCCAAGTTCTGATCCTCCACGATACATCCATCCAGTAACATTGCCCCAATTTAGTTCCTGAGTTTTAAGAAGAAACGTTGTAAAAACTACATAGCAGCTTCAATAGTGGTTTATTTACCACAATCTGAATGATTTTATTTGCTTCTGTCAGAAGCCGTGACACCTGGATATACTTGGCATGCACTGGGCTGAGCGGAATGGGTGGAGTTGTTCAGGACCCACCCTTTCTCGTAAAATAACTGTCAAGACCACAGGTAAAAGTGGTTACTTATGTATCAATTGATTCCGTTTCCACGACCGGCTAAACCCAGGCAAGAAGACAGACCAGCCCTCACACATGAGAACGCCCATGCCAAGGATGTCTCAACTAATAGCTGTCTGGGTGGTTAGAATTTTACCTTTCCCAGACTCTCTCATGGTCTGAGACTGTACGGAGCCAGTAGATCTAGGCATCGCCCTAGGTTTTTATGAAACAAGTAATATCTATCATGCAGTACCCTGAATCTTCCTTCAGAAAGGCCTTCCCAGCATCGTTCGATTCCAAACACATTGTATTTCGAATGATTTGCAATTCGGACGAAAGCATGTGTTACGCAATTCATCCCTGAATGTAAAGCCTAGTGGCTTTAGTTGTACTTTTTCCTAAAAATCTGTTCCCAAGGGTTCATCGAGTTCAGGAACAAAACTTTGAACGATACCAGCAGCAGGGGTTCCTACATGAATAACTGCAAAATTTCTTGCTACCCCGAAGAAGAAGCTGGGCGGCTCGGCGATCAGCTGAAAACAAAGAGGATGTTTACTCCTGTACCAATGATTGCCTCTAATATTTATCGAAAAAAAATTCTAAGAAGTAGTCTCTGGTTACAATATTCTTGTGCCGTGCGAGGNCCTCGCACGGCACAAGAATATTGTAACCAGAAACATCTATGCCGAGGTTAAAGCAAGAGAGAAGTTGGAGACTGTCTAAGAAGTAGCTCCCACTGCAGGAAATAATACTCGAGGAACGGCTGGTTTATACAAATTCGTGAGATCGATCTGAGCCTAATCCAATCTCTTCAGAAAGTCGAATCCGACAGAACATTCCCAAAACTTGGAATTGTGATTTTCTTCAATTGGGAGTTCGGAACTTAGCCCCAGAAAAGGTCATCCCAAATGTGACTACTCGCTCCAACCTGAACGAAGTCAGTTTTTTGCTTGAAATTCTTGCCACGTGCATCGGCTGCATCGGTCAAGGAGCCTTTTCTTTTCTCCTCACGTATCTAAATCGCAGTACTGAAGGGATCAACTGTTTCAGAAGATAATAAAAACAGTGGCTTGAGATTAGTTTCTTGTATGATTTTAATAGGTATCGATCGATTCCAGCAACTCACCTTTTGCGTTTTACCGAGAAGCTTCGACAGAGGTAGTTTCACGATCACATGACCTTAAGCGGACATCAGTGGCCTTTTTCAATTAGAACAGGAAGTCATTGTTTTCCAGACTCACCTTTCAGGCACAACAACTTCGGAGACTTGGGGTCACTGCTTAACAAGGTATTCACAGCTTCGGATCCCATTCGACAGCCCAGAAGTCTATCGAGAAAACTCGGAGCACCCCCTCGTTGCAAATAGCCGAGAGAGGCGACTCTAACTTCAAACTGGAAGAAGATAGATCCGTTGTATTTGCCCTATTTTTGAATTCAAAACCACTACTTAAATAATAATCTGAATAACCTTCAGTTTATCTTCTATAATCTTCTTAACCTCGTCGCTGTTGATTCGCTTTCCCGCAGCGTCGGTAGCTCCTTCAGCGATGATTACGAGATTCAGACGGCTACCAGCCTGACAATTACTATTCCACTTTGAACGATAGTTTCAGAAAGCAGGAAAATTTACAGGCTAACTGAGCCCCTAATAGGGGAGCGATTGGTGCATCGAAGTCATGCTCAGGACCACACGAGCTTTCACCTGCCCCATGGAGCACTTCACTCGGAAAGATATTGCCAGAATAAACCAAAACCCGCTCGCAACCTCAGGAGTCGCTCTGTAGGGCAAGATAGTCAGGGCATTCACCTAAACTGTTAGAATCGGATTTGATTGGTATTCTGGCTGATTTTTCGTTTTTACTGTGAGCTTCCTTCTGATAGCTTATAGAAGCGCTGACATTATGGAAGAGTCCTCTGTCTATCCCACTGCTTTCTGTCTAGTCGCTCACCCAACAACATTGGTGGAAGCCCTTCCGGACTGCACAGAGTTCGCGTCAAGATCCGATTTCCTGGCCGTGCAAGAGGCAGCGGCGCCGTTTCTCAGAGCCCCACCTCGATCTCATTGAACATAACTATGTTCTACTCACCTTACGTTTTCTGTGAAGATGAGCGCACAGCACTTCCGGCCAATTGTCAGGAGGTGGTATTTCAGGAATGAAGACAAAGTCGGCTTCCAATGCTAGCGCAGCGGTGAGTGCCAAGCTTCCGCATTCGTGGCTCATAACCTATTCAGAGAAGGCTCTTGAATATTTGTCTGCTGAGGCCACCAATTGATAGTAAGGAAACGAAAAATGCTCACTTCCACAATAAATGCTCGTTGGTGGCTCATAGCTGTAGCCGTAAGGTTGTCGACGCATTCAGTCACACGAGCCATTGCCGAGTCAAAACCGATCGTGCGATCGGTTCCAAAGAAGTCGTTGTCGATGGTTCTGAACGGAGTTTCTCATTTTGGATTGACTTAGAATCCAAGAAAGCAATGGGCCGTCTATTAGATTTCTTTAAGTATGGGACCACTTTTCCTGAATCAAGCCATCATTTGCTCGCATTGTCATCCCTGCCCCCCCCCCCCCCCCCCCCCCCCCCCTCGCCATCCCCTCCGCTTTCTCCCTACACATTTGATGACTACTTGGGTAACATTTCAGCTTCCCCATGACCGAATCGGATTCCACCGGTCCAACTCAAGAACAGATGAGGAGCACAGCCGGATGATGCTGGAGGCATTCAACGAGTGTCTGTTGCTTGACACTTCCCTCAGTGAGTTATTCCTTTCAAATTGAAAGTTATCAAAGTAGTGCCCTTCTATTTTAGGTTGATACCCTTCCTTACGAATCTCTAGGCCAAAACAGGCTATAAACAATCCGAAATACGAACCCTGCAATACCAACAACCCTCAGAATTTTCCCTTGCTCGGCTTGTTCTTTCGATATTGATCCTGCAATAAAAGCAATTTATTGGATTTTCACTTAGCTTTATTTCTGAGCTCTCGTGTATCATCCTGAATATAATAAAATATTCTTTCAAATCTTGGCGAAACCGAGGTGGTGTGGGCAGAGCTATCCGGCACCGCTCACCCCTTACATCTTCTTCCATTCCCGAACTTTGATGCAGGGGTCATGGGTGCAGGCGCAGGGTTTCCTATTCTCGTTAGCTCATACCACTTCCTTCGGCCTGCGGCATATTCTGCCAATAACTTCTTGCTTTCACTAACTTCGCCATCTCCTTCTTGATCAAATCCCATTAACTTCTTTGGCTTTCCTCGTAGTCGTTTCCATCGCTTCCCTAAGTGAGTGTATCCTGTACTTTGCGGAATGTGCCCATACCATCGCAAGTACAGGTCTCTCGTGTCCAGCAGAGGAACAGCTGATTGCAAACTTTTCGAGGTCTCCGTTTCTAACCTTCTCCAACGCGTCGGGACAGCTAAACCTTTACAGCCTGATTCACGCGACCGTCCAAGGCTAAGTCACTTATCAGGTATCGGAAGTCTTGAACTCATTAAGCGACTTCACCATACCATCAACTATTGACCATGAGCATTCCTCTGAGCTTGGTCTTTTTTGCGTTCAGCCCACGATCATTCTCTACCGGCACGCCCTGTCACTTCTTCATCTTGTTCTGGAGTTCGTCCCTATACTCCGCTATAAGAGCGATGAAACTTGGGTAAAATATGATGGGCGATACCACTCCAGTCCAGCAGTTTCATTTTCGTTGAAATATCGCCAGTCGTGGTATAATATGCTTCGATGAAATTAAATACAACTGCACTGCGTTGGGAACAGCTTTCCATTAATTATGTCTAATTAGGAAATTAATTGGACTCTCTCTTTCCATACCTGATTTGAGCAGTTCCGCTGTTAATGATTCCCATTCATCTCTGAAGATTTTCAGGCCGGTCAAGGATCCATCACCGCCTATGCACGCCAGATGGTAGATCTTGTGTGTGTGCAGTGTGAGAGCAGCCTTAACAGTAGCCCTATAGCTATCGATGAGCAACAAAATCCAAGCGCTTTTACATTAACTGTATACATACTGTAGCTAATTACCTCACATAGCTTTCATCACTAAGAAATAAAGCGGAAGGGTAGGTAAAAACCACAAACCTTCGTACGCTCTTCCTTCGCTTTAAAAGCCTCACAACGTGTTGTACCAAGTATGGTTCCACCTTTGGGTAGGATATTTGAGACGGATTCCCATCTTGCCTCTTCAAGTCTGTTGGTGATTAGACCTAAACATTTTCAATGTAGTCTAATGAATTCCCTATAAAGTACTGACCCCTGTAGACTTGGATCTTGTAAAGGGCAGCTAAGAAATCGACTACTCATTTCGGTGGTAGAACAA